AATTAACTTAAAATTTCATCAGCAATGAGGGAATGTGCATAACCATCAAAACTTGTGAGGCTTGTCGGCAATTCTTAACTGGATGTCATAAAAATGTTATCAGCTACTACACAATATACTCAAAGTAAACAGATGAAAATTGAATACATTTTATGAAATTTAACATTCATGCGACTTTTGCAAACCTTTTTTATCACCGTTATATTAGTTGATCAGATGCTTGTCGTATTTGTTTTAGGATAACAATCTTTTATAATTAAATATTAAAAATTAGTTTCGCTCATACTTTTTTTTTTAAAGATCTTCAAATATTAAAATGGTATACAAATCGATATATAACATACAAACTTTTGAACTGAATTAGTATCATGTAAATTTAGCTTTTTCATTTACGTTCTTCAAAGTCCAACCAAATGCCACCCCTAAGGCCGGTAATTATACCAGTAGGCTCGTAATCATTGTCATTGCGGGTCTTGGGATTAACACGAACATTGAAGTGGGTAAGCACCTCGACAACAGCGGCCTTAATTTGTGCCAAAGCAAAGCGCATTCCTAAAATATAAAATAATATGTTATAGATAGATATATACTACAGAGAGATATATATGGAAGCTTATCCCACCTATGCAGATGCGTGGACCATCGCCGAAGCCCATGAAGACGCCTTGCTCGCGATACATTTTGGCCGCATCGGGCTGCATGAAGCGATCGGGTTGGAATGCCGTGGGATTGGGAAAGTACTCCTCGTCCTGCATGAAACAGAAATGTGGCACAATAACGGTGGTGCCCCGCTCCACAACGAAGTTCTCGCCTTTCCTGTTGGGTAACTCGATCGGCTCTGTACATAGCTTTGAGGACATGAAGGCGGGCGGAAATAGGCGTAAAGTTTCTATTGGGAATAGCAACAATTTCTCACATTATTAAATATATTATTACGTGACCTTAGCTCAATTTCGCAATGTCTCGTTTAGTTAAGTCTATTTAACTTTTTTTTTGTACACTTAGAATATTTTTTAGACTTCACATTCACTGTCTGTGACATGTATTTGTATCTTAACTATCATGTTTTATAATTATATTCAATTTAGATCAAATTCATATTTGCTCGACAGTAAGAAAACAATCTTTAGACGTAAACTCACCCTGCACACAGGCATCCAAAAATGGTAGCTCGTTCAGCTTCTCAAAGTCAATGACACCCTGTTCATTGAGATGTGCCTGCACCTCATTTAATAATCGCTGCTGCACCTCCTCGTCACGTCCGAGCAGCAGGAGTAGATGGCTCAGGACCGTTGCCGTCGTTTCGAAGCCATCCAGCAGGAAGGTCATTGTGTGAGCAGTCAACTGGCGTGTATTTAGATTCCTCTTGTCGGCCAATTGCAGTATATAGTCGAGGAAATCAATGCGCTCGAACTGCTTGCCAGCAGCCAGCTGAGCACGACGCGCATCCACCGCATTCTGCATCAGATCCACAAAGAATCGTTCTATGGGCAAAGGCACGAAGCGCAGCTTGAAGAATCGAAGTAGACTGGGGAATGTGCTGACTAAGACAAAGTAAAGCATGAGAGTGTAGGGTTGCTGAAACAGATTCTTGATGCTAGCCAGAATTGGTGTGGGCTTTTCAGAAAAGCTCTCGGCCTTTAGGCCCAGTACACAATCGGTGACCATTTCAGAGGTGAATCGGAGGCTCATCTGAAAACAAATTGTAAATAACTATGTGATCAATTTAATGAGTAATCTCGCAGCACTCACATCCTTAGCATCGATTCCCTCCGGAGGAGACAGGCGTATTTGCTTGCGTAGCCAGTCGCTCACCTTGCCGCAGACCTCATTGGTTACCGGGTAGACAGCTTTGATCTGCATTAACACCCAACATCAGCAGCATATTGGATATGAAAGAAAATAAAATGTAGTATCTCTGAGCATTAATATAACACCAGAAAGAGTTACCCGGACCTATTGTATTTCATGTGGAAAAGGTGGAATACTTCTTGCGAATATATAAGAAACATTACGGCCAATATACTTATAACTTACACGACTCATGGTCAGTCCGGGTGTGACGTCAGCCCGTCGGTGTTTCCATTCTTCGCCGACCAAGGAGAATGGATTGTTGGCGAATATATAGTCGGAATTATCATCCACCATTAGAGAAATCTCGTTGTCATGAAAATGCTTGAAGTCCGAGACGAAAACACGTCGTGCCAGTTCCGGGCTGATCACCAACAACTGCGGCTTGCGTGCTCCATAGATGCCAACTGCATCGTACTGCTGCTTGTAGCTCCTGTATTTTAAAAATATAGAATTAGTTTAGTTTAGTAAAGTGTAAAAGAGACTACCTCACCGATAGATTTCATCGAGATCGTAGATAGCATGTCGCTTCATAGTGTACATATGCGGATAGTTGCCAATGAGGATGCGAGGCGGGGGACCCGGAACTTTCCGTTTGTGCCAGTAGTCGAAATTCCATCTCATGAAAACATAGAAGAGCACCGCCAGCAACCCCACCAAGGTCAAAGTAACTTCCAGCATAATTTGATGTGATGATTCCCCGAGCAACTTTTTCAAACTGACTGTCGCTCAATAAATGCTCAACTATTTGTAGCTGGAGGTAGTGAGCGTTTGGAGAGTGAATACAGCGACGCTCTTTTTAGATTAGATTGACCTTGTTGACTTTAATATATGTAAATGCTATACTATCAACTGATAATCATTTATGGCCGACTATATCGAAGTATCGGTAATCAGTGATATCATCAGTTGCAAGTGCCAACTTGAATTATAATCATATATTTATTTACAATCATCCAATTGTAAACTTTTTGAGTGTGTAATTGAACTAGAAGTGATAGACTGAGAGCTACCCTGGATAATATATATGAATTCTCATTAATCTATATTCGTGTATCTGCCATCGTTTTATTACTATAGATTCTGATTGTGAATAATAAATATTATATTATATGCAGAGCAAAATATAAAACATGTACCATTAAAATACATCTCTGCTCTTGTGGCATGCGTTATAAATTGTTTTGTGCATTTAATAGAATCAAAACACCCCTTAATTAACGCTCGCAAATTCTGAGAGAGAGATTGAAATAGCAAGAAAGAGATCTGTTCGTATCTAGAAAGAGAGCGAGAGAGATAGAGAGAGAGAGAGAGAAAGATAAATAATGAGAGAGAAAGAGAGTGAGAGAGGGCTTGTTTGGGGGAAACTTGTTGTTCCCAACTGTTATAAATATAACTAAAATAAACACAATTCAAGATAAAGTCGAAACGCAAATTACGCGATGATGTTATTATTTCAATTTTAACGTAATATGGAACGTAATATTATTTTAGAATGTGTTTGAATAAATTTAGTTATATTTGTTTGTTTGTATTTTTTAGTGCTTAATAGCGAATGATAATAATTAGATTTTGCCATGTATTTAATTAAGGCTGATTTCAACAGAGCAATTTTCAATTCTATATTGATCTTGAGTGAGCAGTGTTTACTTTATATAATATATAATACGAATATAACACACCCGCTGCCTCTGAATGAGAGAAGAGCACCGGTTCCTGCGGTATGATAGAAATCTTGCTTCGTATAATATCGAACTAATCAAAACTTGTGAGGTTTGTCGGTAATTCTTAATTCGATGTCAAAAAAAAAATATTGTCAGCTTGTAACGAACACGTTAAAGTGTGCAGCAAACTGGAGCCGTATTCTGCCTACGGTCGACTGTGCTCAGGGAAAGTAGTAAGTAGGAAACTGCCGTGTCACATAACTAAAAAATGGTAGATAGGGTGTTGAAGGAACGGAATAAAACAACCAGACAGAATAGTTAACAGAATCCACTAGTGAAGATATATTTAAGTCGAAGAAGAGATATGTTGATGTTCTTCTCTGTTTAGCCGCCCAACCTGTAAAGACTAATATTCTACTCCTTTACCCAATTAAATATGCAAAACCATATTTATATCAGGAGCCCATTAAGCTATTTTAATCCATAAATAATTTTTTATATACTCCATAATTGCTGTTGCTGTGTGATCTTCAAAACGGAGTAGACAATATAACAGCTGATATTACATATACTACAAACCATACCAAGTTTATATAACTCTTTTTAAGATTAAAAATTAGTTCATCGCAAATTCATTATATGACAATTTAACCTACGGTTTAACTAAATTGTTGTGTATGGTCTTGTAGAGTTCAGTTTGAGATAGTCGAAGTTTCGGTCAACCGCCGTTCAGATTGGATTCGTTACTTGCACAAGGTTTGCGCACTAAACTGAAATTACAACAGCTGATAGTCCGCCTCGGCGCTGATCATCCATTAAAGAGGCTGTAAAGCTGCATGTGCGCACAATGGATACGGCGTCAAGGAGTTTGTAGACTTATTCCCCTTATTGCACCACCAACAGATTAACAGCAAGTTAATTGTTAACGGCCGCAATATGTTTGTCGCGCTTCAATGACACTGGCATTTGAATGATTGATGTAGCCCTGGCACAATTTGCTTATGGCAGCCGCCATGTTTTGGGAAGACACACAATTGCTATTCAATATTGGTGCACTTTTTTTTAGTATTTGTTTCTTTCAATTATTTTGAACAAAACGAGCTTTAACAAAGCCATGCCGCCAAGTTATTCTCAATAAGAATTTCATGGAGCAATTCATCAATTGCAGGAAAATGCATGCGACAGTTGCTTTGACGTCAGAGTTGCTAATTTGGTCACCGTGCGAATGATTGTGAATGGTTCTGCTAATGCATCATTACCGATCAGCTGTTTGCATGCACGCTTAGATGCTGACCGTTGTTACAGTCGCGTCCCAAAAAACGTTACCAGTACGAAATGTTCCAATTTTCTGTTAATATTAATGTGGATATATGGACACCACTGCAAGTTACTACACAATATACTCACAATAGGACTTATGCACAGTAGTAGGTATCAATATCAAGTTCATTATCAGAGCATATGAAAATGTAATAAACTTTTGCAAACTTTTTTATCCGCGTTATATTATAATCAATTATAATTATAGAAAATTAGTATACAGAAATCTTGTTCATGCGCTGAGTAGATTTGATATCGTAAGAAATTGCAATTGGGGTAAAAATTTAAAGTGAATTCAGCTTTTTCATTTACGTTCTTCAAAGTCCAGCCAAATGCCACCCCTAAGGCTGGTAACAAAGCTTGTAGGCTCATAATCATTGTCATTGCGGGTCTTGGGATTAACACGAACATTGAAGTTGTTAAGCACCTCAACAACAGCGGCCTTAATTTGTGCCAAAGCAAAGCGCATTCCTAAAATATAAAATAATATATTATAGATAGATATATACTACAGAGAGATATATATGGAAGCTTATCCCACCTATGCAGATGCGTGGACCATCGCCGAAGCCCATGAAGACGCCTTGCTCGCGATACATTTTGGCCGCATCGGGCTGCATGAAGCGATCGGGTTGGAATGCCGTGGGATTGGGAAAGTACTCCTCGTCCTGCATGAAGCAGAAATGTGGCACGACAATGCTGGTGCCCCGCTCCACAACGAAGTTCTCGCCTTTCCTGTTGGGTAACTCGATCGGCTCTGTACATAGCTTTAAGGACATGAAGGCGGGCGGAAATAGGCGAACAGTTTCTATTGGGAATAGCAACAATTTCTCATATTATTAAATATATTAAAAGGTGACTCTCGTCACATTAATAGTTTAGTTAAGTCTATTTAAGTTTTGTTAATATCTAGCTGGTATCGATAGTAAAACATAAACCAATTGACTGCTCTATATTTATGTTGCATTAAAATTTAAGTTAACTGTAAACTGATGATATTTAAACTTGGGACTTACATATTAATATTATACTCTAAAGTAATTATCGTATTCATGAGGTCCTGAATTTATCATGATTTTATTTTTATAGACTTTGCTTTCTGCACTTTATTTTGTACATTTTGAATATTTTTCAATCCTCACATTCACTGTCTGTGACATGGATTTGTATCTTAACTATCAATGTTTTTTAGACTTATATTTGCCGGACAGTAAGAAAACAATCTTTAGACGTAAACTCACCCTGCACACAGGCATCCAGAAATGGTAGCTCGTTCAGCTTCTCAAAGTCAATGACACCCTTTTCATTGAGATGTGCCTGCACCTCATTTAATAATCGCTGCTGCACCTCCTCATCACGTCCGAGCAGCAGGAGTAGATGGCTCAGGACCGTTGCCGTCGTTTCGAAGCCATCCAGCAGGAAGGTCATTGTGTGAGCAGTCAACTGGCGTGTATTTAGATTCCTCTTGTCGGCCAATTGCAGTATATAGTCGAGGAAATCAATGCGCTCGAACTGCTTGCCAGCAGCCAGCTGAGCACGACGCGTATCCACCGCATTCTGCATCAGATCCACAAAGAATCGTTCTATGGGCAAAGGCACGAAGCGCACCTTGAAAAATCGAATTAAACTGGGGAATATGCCGGCTAAGGCAAAGTAAAGCATGAGAGAGTAGGATAGCACAAACAGATTCTTGATGCTAGCCAGAATTGGTGTGGGCTTCTCAGAAAAGCTCTCGGCCCTTAGGCCCAGCACACAATCGGTGACCATTTCAGAGGTGAATCGGAGGCTCATCTGAAAACAATTTGTAAATAACTATGTGATCAATTTAATGAGTAATCTCACAGCACTCACATCCTTAGCATCGATTCCCTCCGGAGGAGACAGGCGTATTTGCTTGCGTAGCCAGTCGCTCACCTTGCCGCAGACCTCATTGGTTACCGGGTAGACAGCTTTGATCTGCATTAACACCCAACATCAGCAGCATATTGGATATGAAAGAAAATAAAATGTAGTATCTCAGAGCATTAATATAATTCCAGCAGGAGTTACCCGGACCTATTGTATTTCATGTGGCAAAGGTGGAATACTTCTTGCAAATATATAAGAAACATTAATCCAATATACTTATAACTTACACGACTCATGGTCAGTCCGGGTGTGACGTCAGCCCGACGGTGTTTCCATTCTTCGCCGACCAAGGAGAATGGATTGTTGGCGAATATATAGTCGGACTTTTCATCCACCATTACAGAAAGCTCGTTGTCATGAAAATGCTTGAAGTCCGAGACGAAAACTCGTCGTGCCAGTTCCGGGCTGATCACCAACAACTGCGGCTTTCGTGCTTCATAGATGCCAACTGCATCGTACTGCTGCTTGTAGCTCCTGTATTTTAAAAATATAGAATTAGTTTAGTTTAGTAAAGTATAAATCTCTTTTACTTTCTACTTCACCGATAGATTTCATCGAGACCGTAGATAGTATGTCGCTTCATAGTATACATATCGGGATAGTTGCCAATGAGGATGCGTGGAGGGGGACCCGGAACTTTCCGCTTGTGCCAGTAGTCGAAATTCCATCTCATGAAAACATAGAAGAGCACCGCCAGCAATCCCACCAAGGTCAAAGTAACTTCCAGCATAATTTGATGTGATGATTCCCCGAGCAACTTTTTCAAACTGACTGCCGCTCAATAAATGCTGAACTATTTGTAGCTGGAGGTAGTGAGCGTTTGGAGAGTGAATACAGCGACGCTCTTTTTAGATTAGATTGACCTTGTTGACTTTAGTATATGTAAATGCTATACTATCAACTGATAATCATTTATGGCCGACTATATCGAAGTATCGGTAATCAGTGATATCATCAGTTGCAAGTGCCAACTTGAATTATAATCATATATTTATTTACAATCATCAAATTGTAAACTTTTTGAGAGTGTAATTGAACTAGAAGAGATAGACTGAGTGCTACCCTGGATAATATATATGAATTCTCATTCATCTATATTCGTGTAGTTGCCATCGTTTTATAACTACAGATTCTGAATGTGAATAATAAATATTATATTATATGCAGAGCAAAATATAAAACATGTACCATTAAAATACATCTCTGCTCGTGTGGCATGCGTTATAAATTGTTTTGTGAATTTAATAGAATCAAAACACCACTCGCAAATTCTGCGAGAGAGATTGAAATAGCAAGAAAGAGATCTGCTCGTATCTAGAAAGAGAGCGAGAGAGATAGAGAGAGAGAGAGAGAGAAAGATAAATAATGAGAGAGAAAGAGAGTGAGAGAGGGCTTGTTTGGGGGAAACTTGTTGTTCCCAACTGTTATAAATATAACTAAAATAAAAACAATTAAAGATAAAGTCGAAACGCAAATTACGCGATGATGTTATTATTTCAATTTTAACGTAATATGGAACGTAATATTATTTAAGAATGTGTTTGAATAAATTTAGTTATATTTGTTTGTTTGTATTTATTTAAGCACAAATAAAAAATAGCGAATCTCATATAATTAATAGATGTTGTCAAGTATCTAATTATTTCTGATGTCAACAGAGCCATTTTCAATTCAATATTGCTCTTGAGTGAGCAGTGTTTAGTTTATGTATTATGTAGGAGTGAGTGTCTATATATACATGTGTATATCAGGCACATGTAATTCATACAAAGTATATTATGTGTTGTATGCATAGTTATTGACATCTATCCACATTGGCTGTGGTCTTGTCCATGACCAGAATTTTCCCGAAGAATAGCATGTGCCAAACACACCAGTTGCCTCTGAATGAGAGAAGTGCGTAGAAGATGTACAGGTAAAAGCCGACGGCTCGATTAGTAAACAGTTGCAGTCAGACCCTAACAATTTTGAGGAGATCATATATCTGACTGATATTTAATTTATTTAGTTGCTTTTATTTCTTGTTGCTTCAGTTGATTCATTGAGGTGTCTCAGAGTCCAGCCAAATGCTATCATATATCATAAATTACCAAAAGTCTTCGCTTTGCGAAGTAAATATTGGACCGCTTTCGAAATCAATTAACTCGATTCGATTTTTAGTGTTTATAGTCTGATACCAAAGGTAGACAAGAATGATTTTCGCAATGGCCCGTTTTGCCACAGTGTCCACTATTCAGAAAAATTTATGGAAAATGATGCGACAAAATATCTGTGCCATGTCAAGCTTTCAATAGCATAGTAATAATATTTATGGCCATTGCAGCAGCCTCAATCGCCTGGCTGTCTGGAGCTTCCTTTTTCGGTTTGGTGTTGTCACACAATGCAGTTCTTGGGCGGCACATTTGTCACGTGTTGTGGTCAGGCTTATTAAACGGCTTTTAAGCACCAGGAAACAAGCACAATGGATTTTCTCTATAGCCAGTAGATTTATGGATTTGACTAAAGTGTCTCGACGGCAAATGCATCCTTGCAAATTATGCGGCATAAGATGTTCCAAGGTTTACAGATACAATTTTTTTGTAGGTTAACTACCGTTCTATTTCTTGAAAATGGTTTGCCAACTAAATAAATATGTATAATAATAATAATAATGCTGCAACTCAGCTTTTTAAGCTAACCGACGCAAGGAAAGTTTTATGTATTTATTTTTGAATAAAAAGATATTCGGTCTTCTCAATTATGTTTTTATTAAGAAAATAACTATCCAAAATGTAGCCCAGTGGAATGATTTAATCCACATTGATAGACTTTTAGTAAAATAAATCTTTAATGTTGTAGTATCAGAAATTAATCTCCAAATTATTAATGGCTTAGCTTACTCAAGTTGGGAATTTTTTTTCATCTCTGTTTTAAAGTGAAATTAAACAAATAGTTTATTTAACTAGCCCACAGCAATTCCCTTCCACACATTGAAAGCTCTGCCCAATCCAATGGCCAGTCTCAACATCCTGCTGCAAACCCTTCAGAAGAAAATTCGAAATTTATGAGGCAGCTCACTTAACTTGGTCAGGGCAAAAACAAGAATAAAGACCAGAAAAAAAAAAGAAATGGCAACAAACAGTACCAAAAGCTGTTTATGTGTTTGGAACGTGTTTGGCTGTCATGGCATTTACCGTAACACGCAGCTTGTCCATTTGTAACCATCCCCCACCACACCACCGCTCATATACACATACACAGACACACTCATGTATACATATGTAAAACTTAATATGTATCTATGAGAATGTGTGGAATGCAACCCAAAATGAAGTTGTTGCCTATACTAAATTGTCATTCTGCTGGTGTAAAAATTATTTGAGCCCCTAAAATGAGCTTGGTTAAGCCGCTTTAAACCTGGTCCCCCAACACAGAGTGTGTTGTGCCCGATAACAAACAGCAACAGCAGTAATTAGAAAGAAACCCGAGTTGTCTGCCTGGCAAGTAGCAACAAAAAATATTCTATGCATAATTAAGCAACAAATTAAGCATTATCAAGTTGGCAGCTAGCAGAGCAGGCAACATAACAACTGCTAACATGGCCAACAGCAACACCACACAAAGGACACACACTGAAATATTAATATCAATTATTACGCAACAAGTGTGTGGGTCGAGTGGTGCTGCGACCATCAGGGGGCATTTCATCATCTTAATGGAAGGGCCCCGTTTGACAGCAATCCTTGAACTGTTTCCTAAGTAGGCCTACGGCGACAGAACCGGGTGTCCCGACTAATCCATATTCTGCCTGTGTTGCCCATGACACATGTCGCGACAGACAGACAAGCCACATAACAACTCGTAGGTATTAAGACAGTTTCAGTAAGGTGTTTATGTGGGTGGGGGAACGGTGAAACGTGGGGCTACTGATCACACAATGAGACCTTAGGTGCTTAGTTGCTGGTTTTGGTTAGCGTCAACTACCTAAATGTGTTTAAACAAGCTTTAAACTTGCTCATCGATTTTAAAAAGGAGTTACCAGATAATGGCAATATACAAAAAATTCCACCGATAATATAAATCGAGTCATCTTTATATAAATCTTATATTAAATGTGAAACTTAATCATTATATTTAAAATTTTAAAACCCCAAAATCTTGAATCCCATTCAAATAAAATAATACCATATAATAATTAAATAATTAATCATATAATAATAATTATATTGCCAAGAAGCGGTTATCAGATTATCAAATTGAAATTCATATGAATATGATTGCTTAATTTTATACAAGACAAACAATAAAAACGTTTTTGATGGAAATTACATTCTCCAAGCAAAAAAGACATATACCATTGCATACAAGAATTTTCAACTCACTGACTTTTCCCGTCATAATCACGGCAATTAGCAAATATAGCTTCTCCATCTACGGGCCTTTTTTTGGTTTTTATGTTCACACCTTTCTGGGCACCCGGCCAACTCTTATCCCTTTTAATTAGACGCCGCTAAAAGGCAAATTCCGAGCTCAAGCTCAAGAGAGCCAAGTCTTCCTCAATCCCTGTTCCCTCTTTTCCTGAAAAGTGTTCGTGGCCCTTTGACTATTTGCTTTTCAGTTGGCAGCTGCTTTACCTAACTGCAAGCGAGCTTTTTTTTACCCATTTCTAATTTTCATTTTAATTACTTATTACGAGTATTATTCTGAAAATCAAGCAAGTGGCAACTTTGGGCACGCCCTCCAACCAGCGGAATGGAATGGGCCTGCCACTCAGACAACGGCAGCTGTTACACTTTTTCTGTTCTTGCCACCTGTCTTTGGCATGTTGCCCCCTGCCTCTCTGTTTCCCACTTGGCATCTGTGAGTGTTATCATATTTCACGCCTATTAGCATTTTAATTTAATTAACATTTATGACGACAATTTGTGCGTTGGCAGCCGTGGAAATGTGCGATAACTCGAAGTTGAAGGCAAAATTATGGGGCTCTGATTAGAATATGCACAGCCCTTGGAGCTAAGATGAAGTCATCAGACATAGCAGATGAAGAATATATCATATTATTGGTATGTTATGTCAATTTACAATATAGAGAGAGATAGTTTAGAAATATAGTGCAGAAGTATATAACACCAAAATGTAATTCATTTAATAACACGGATAAATAAACATTATGCTGCCTTTTCCTTATCCTTGATCTCTTAAATCTCTTTAATCAAATCTTAGGCATGGAATCTTGTATGTAACATCACTGAATACCAATTAGTAATAATTATAATTCTACTAAAAATAATGTGAAAATGTATGAATGATAGTGAAAGCACTTAAAAAATAACCTCTACCAACTGCAATGAAGACATTTGGTGGAACCAATTCAACTCAAGAGCGGCAGCACCAATGCTTGTGTTTGGGGCCTTAACATGAAAAGTTGAATGCAACTTGCTTGCAAGTTTATCCAAAAGAAACTCAAACAAAGTGATAGTAAGTGACGCCGGAAATAATTTCACGTAACTATTTGCAAGTAGTGTCAGACAGTCAGCCCAGACCGTCTGGCAAAACAAGCAACTAGATAGATATATACTTAGTTAGTTAGATAGCGGCCCAGTTAACGCCCTCTCCGTTAGATTTATGGACGCCCTCAGCCAGTCAAACATGTTCGTGGCAATTTCAGCTAGAAATTACATCCGCTGCCTGCCTGGCCAAAAGTTACAGCCGCAAATTTAAACCCGGTCATCTGTGAGGCCAATGCTTTAAACAAATCGCCTGAAGCAGCTTAATCGCCTTGGAAGCTTCTTAAATTATTTGTGCTGAGTGTAAATTTGATAAGATCATTAAATGCATGCGAATCCCAGTAATAAATTTGAATATTGCTCATATATCCCACAATAGAACTTTGATTTACGGGAAATTAACTAATACCAAGATATTCAAGACTTGCAAAATGGAATCGCCCGAAGCACAACGAAATAAATAAAATGCACAGACAATCAAACTTGTCTCGGCTGTCTTTCTAGAGAATGAAAACATATTTACAATTTTAGTCCAGAGCTGAAACCGCACCGACAAACATAGGAAGTGCATTAAATGTGGCTACGTGTCGCATGAGTAACGAAATTGGGAATCGAAAAACTTCTCACTGCGTTTGTCCAATATAAATTGGACAACATCCATTTTAAAACCAATTCAATTCGAACTTTTTAAATATGCAAATACCCGAAGCCAAAAGTGGATAAGTCCAATTAGCATGCAGAAAGTTTCACGCTTGTTCAAAGTTAATTGAGCTTGTTTTAGCCAATAAGATGGAGAAGCGAAGACAATTGATGTTCTGGCTTCTGATTAGCTCAATGAATGGAAAAGTGTTAATTAGCCTTAAGTGAATTCAACCGTAGAGCTTATTAAGCTCATCAGTCAATTGAATGCGATTTGCTTATTGAAATTGGTGCGTCTAGCATGTTGAATTAAGTGAAGTATTAATATAATAGATTGACCACATGTAATGGGGATGTTTTCTTCGTTTATTTGGTATTTGCTATCCAAATAAATATAATTATTGAACACTCAATAATTGCTCTAAATTAACCGCAAATTTGTATGCTTCACTAATTCGAATAACTTGTGCAAACAAAATTTATTCAATATGTACAATGCAAAGGCAAATTTCGATAGCCAAATAACATCGCACATGCCCATAATTGTTTGTCGAACAAAGCAAATGCAACCGAACAGAACCGAACCAGAACAAACCAAACCAAATCAATTCAAAATTCGAGGCCGCCATTATATGCGATGGGTTAAGCAATTGCGTAATATATACGAGTATATAAGATTGCATGTTTACACCAAAACTCAATTTGGACAAAACCGCAAATAGCACAGGGAACTAATTGCCAAATTCATTTCAGCTCGATTCGTTGCTCTGCATGGCTACCAGTTATTATTAAATTGTTTGCGATTCACTAAATAATTTGCACACCACATTTAGTTTGTATTTTTAGATAGCATCGCATTTAATTGAAAGGAGGCATTATGGAATATTAATGCACTGTCAATAACTCGATTAAAGCTCAAATCGCAGTAAACTCCAACTGTAACTTCAAAGTCACAGTGCTGCTCATTAAATTATCATGCTTCCCTGCAGTTCTGCCTAAAAAAAACTCATAAGAATCCCATAAGAATCGCATCGTTTTACACTGCACAATGTCCTTCGGCCGGAACTCGTCTCCTCACTCTCCGCAGCCTCTTCATTTGCTGTTGCCGCTTTTGTGGTAAACATGAAAGAAAATGTACCAGTGAAACACAAAAAAAAGAAATATTGCAAGACCCAACCAACCAGTCAAACCATTCCCCTAAAAGGCTGGCCGGCAGCGGTGATAAAGTGAATAAAATAAAACTATTTAGGCGCAGAAGCAAAAGTCTACAAAATTGAAATAAAAAATAAAAGAGTTGCTGCGCTTTTACGAGTTGCGAGGCATGAACAAATTTAAAGGTACAACATGTATATTTTAACAATGGCAGTTGTGTCATTATTTTAAAAATCTCGTTAAGTATTTATTTCCTCACGGTAAATATGAGCATTTCTTATATTTACATATATTAATAATTAATAAATTATATAGATATATATAGAATATTAAATATATTTAAATTGGATTTCACAATTATAAACAGACATCGTAAACATTTTTTAATGCTCGTATTATTATATTTTTTTGCAGCTAACTTTACTATCAAGCCTATTCAGTAAAGGCCTATTCTAAAGGTCCGAATTTCAGAAGTTAGCTTGTCGACTTTATTTTTTTGCGCATTTGCATTTTCTTGATGACGATAAATGTGACACATGCGAAACACATTACACACTCCCCCTCTGTCGCCCACACCTTCCCACTGATTCAGCCTTACAAAAATTCGCTCAGCCTAGCCTTGAATATAAAAAAAAACTTTGCTTATGCATAAATTTATGTCGGCTCGTTTGCTTGCAAACTGAAATGTTTAAAAGCGCATGAAAATGTTCTTAAAACTTTGAACTTTTTGCCACCGCACTTTGAGCTTCTCAACTTTTAATATGAGCAGTGTAATGCATACAGAGCATAAACCTATGTGTATGGCTGTTTTTTTTTTTACTTGTTGAGTGCATTTCTATTACAATTTACAGAGTACTTTGTTGATGCATGCATTTCCAAATCTGAAATTAATTCACAGCTTCAAGCACATCCAAAGCCCAGCAAGAATCCTGCCAAAAAGGCCACTGATAGGCGTGTTGTCAAATTCTTAACGCTCTCTACAATTTCTGTGCCGTTAATATGCGGTGTCCGGAATGGATCACGCTGTATGGCTCGAGTAGTTGCATCCACTACCTGTCGTGTGTCCACTCTGTCCCACTTGATGCTGACAACGCCCACCTCCATAGCCAGCTGGACGCACAGGATGGATCCACCCACGCAAATAGCCAGCAGTTTGCTTACCCTGAATAAAACCAATCCTGTCACAAGGCCACCGCCGGCACCGACTCCAATTTGTACATAAGGCGAGTGGTCGCTCAACTTGATTACAGCTGTGCCTAGAACGGACATGAGTGGCAGTCTATCAGTTAGTGTCCTTTACGTACTTGATTTCAGGACCGGTAGCTGGCTCATTTTTTTATTGTTTAAGTTTTGTCTGGGAGCAGTTGAAATTCAGATTTGATGAACTGAAATTTAAGGCCAATTGAATGTAAACTCAATGTTGACCCTCCCACTCGGTTTTGGTTTGTGTAAAGGTGACTCAAGTGCACCGCTTTTTGTTCCGTACAATTGATCGCCAGACCGTAAAATTGTTTAACTGTTAAAAAGACGTGGGTCCAAACATCAAAGGTAACTTTTCAACACGCCTGTTATTCAAACTTCACAATTTGTTGGCTATTTATGGAGCTTAAATATTTGATTAGCTGTAACTAAATTAAAAGGCGCTTTAAGCTTCATTCAATTTGACATTAAATTTTTGCAAGTTAAGCAAAATTCTATGTGTGAAAGGTTAAGTCAGTGTTGAACTGTGCCGAAAATTATACACGAATTTTATTAACATTTGTTTTAATTATTTATTTTTAGCGTTTATTTGTTTATATGATATTCATATTCTTTGGCTAATATTATTAATATGTTTATTTTTATATGGCTCGGTATAACGATGGCATTTTAAAAATAAATTTATTGAACAATACATATTTATTCATAGATAAATTTGAATAATTGAATACAATTCAATAGCTACAAATAAAATAAGAAAAAAAAGTAATAATAATAATAAAATTGTATAAATACTGTTTTCAGCACTTTAAATATTCGTTTCCTCCCATCTATTTATTCACGAATTGAAGCCACTCAAATTTGACAACTGACTGACTGATATTTGGACATTGTTTAAAACTATATTTTTGCAGGCCATTTTGCTTGGAACATTTGACAAATAAATATTTGATGAAATAATTGACAAAATTAATGTGCAGCTGTGAACTGCACAGCCATATAGTGGCTGCTCTATTTGTATTTCTACTCGACAACTGTGGAATATCTAATAAGAGCAATAATATTTTAAATGAACAAGTAAATTATCGAACAGTTTGCAAAATAAATTTTTGGAAATTTTGGAATAAACGACTATTTTCCCACTATCGTTGCCTAATAAAAGAACGCATTGAGGTGTGCATTATTGATGCCAGCCCTGGAGAAATCAATGCGAACAGTTCAATTGGCCTGCAAATCGAAATGGCAACTAAAAATGGACGCTAGTTGAGTGCATTTCGGGGTTTGGAGTGTGCTCTGCTTAAATGGACTGCCCGAAGCACCTTTATTTAATTTATGGTTCAATTATGCGCTCAGGTACCGCCCATTGCAGTTACGTACCCCTCCCTCTCAAATACCCGCCGTAAGCAACCAAGGCAGTCGAGGTGTTTGGCTTTATCGCGAGTTGGAATCAAATTAACAATGAGCACGCAAATAGCCGCAAATAATTGCGAGAATGGAGCCGCCAGGAAGTGGTAGGTAGAGGTTTGAGATGGTTAGTCAAAATAGGGAAACCACCGTTAGATAATCTAGTTATGCAACACTTAAGAGCCTCCAATTCGACTGAATTAAACACTTGAGCACTTATATTCAAAATTTAAAACTGTCTCATTTCGGCATACATAATAAAAAGCGCCCATGATATATGTATGTAGTGCTATGTTGAGAGTGGAACTTAACTTGACCATAAAATAAAAAGTGGATAGCAAAAGGGACCGGGGACGGGGCAAGGATAACAAAGGCAACAATTCCAACATCAATGCGAAACGTGTTTGCCATGTAGCTGGTAAGTTTAAGTTTGGATTTTGCAGTTTCGCTCTGATTTTATGACTATAGTTTAATGGGACATTTTTGAAGTACGTGAGTTGCAGGCACCATTTGGCATTTTGCATTTAGCATTCCGTTCTTTCCTCTTATGCAGTGCTTAACGACACTTAAGAATTGGATGGATGTAAGTGCTTGCAAAATATGTTAATCCAATCCAACTATAAGCAGTTGCCACAATATTTACATATTTACTATAAATACTAATATGCATGTATCTATTTCTTGTATATGTATTTATTTAATTTCGACTAAACACTTCGAAAACTTACAAAATGATTTAATAAAACCTTAAAATTTAATTTGAAACTAAAGTTGCACATTTAATTATTTAAATTTACAAGGAGAAATAAAATTAAATGCTTATAATTTTAAAAAATTTAAGTTAAGAACATAATAAGTCAATTTAAATGTAAAATGGTTCAACATTTCTTGCATGGATTGAGGAAACTCCGAAAAATAAACCCAATCAGATCAAAAATGGTTGGGCTTTAGTAGCTTAGTAATAAGCAAGGCAATAATAAATTTATTTAAAAAATAAACTAAACAATGTTCTCGTACATACAACAGAATTTTGCAGTTATGTTACAAGTTTCTTTCACTTGTTTTGTTTACTTTTATCATGTATTGTAGCTACAAAGAACGCATACCCTGTAATAAGTACATCCGTATTTGGTGTACTTAAAGCCAAACCTTAAGTCAACTTATATCCATTTCTGACTTTTATGCTCAATGTAGAGTGGTTGCCTCTAACTGGGCAATGGATGTTGCATCCTGTACAGTGCCAGTGGGGGAGTTGGTTGAGAATTAGGTGCAGTATTGCTGCCTGTTGACGTGCTGTAAATTTGAAAACGTCCAGCCACTGTCTGGATAAAGAGTTGCATGTTGGCTCAAAGCAAATGATTTCTGCAGCTGTTTTGTGTGCTGACGTCTTTATTTGTGTGCGGGTTTGTACAACAAATTAACTGCGGTAAGCTCTGGAGCTACCCAACAAGAGAGAGAGTGAGAGAGAGAGAGAGAGTGAGAGAGAGAGGGAGATGTTTCAATCTAGACAGAAAGGAAGAGAGATGGGAGCCCTTCTAGCTGAGAATTGGCGACGTTGTTAGCTGCAAGTGATGAGCACAGCTTGCGGTTTGTTTGTGTACTCGAAACCCCAACGTTTTATTGGGTTAAATGGTTTGTGTGTTTCAGAACATTAATTTTGTTGCCGGTAGATGGAAGCAGTATGTGAAACTGCGAGTGAATCCTATTCAAATTATAGAGTTTCGTTGTCTGCAATCATTCCATTTGATTTATTATTTTTAGTAGGATGCAGAGGGTGAGAATAGTAAGTTTACAATTGAAATATAATATTGTTTTCTTTATACTAACCAATTAATTTGTATTTAAAATTGAATAAAATCAGATTGGGTCAGGACAATATTGAATAAACTACTTGTTGGTGTAGATAAGGTTAGAATTAGGCGACTATGGAGGATGAATGTAATCTTTTCGAATAGGTACGATTAAAGGAATATCAAATGACCACTGAAATGTGATGAATATTTTGAAAATACAGTTCTATTGAGAAAATGATATATACAATTATATTCGACCTATGCTTACATATTTGGTAAATTATTAAATATAGTCAAATTACAATTATGCTTACTGAAAACTTTCTTCAAATAGATTTTCCACTTATTGTGACCGAGAAAAGTGCTTGGCTTATGATTTTCATATATATTCTATAATAAAGAGCATTTATTATTGCGGCTCTTGAATTCATCATACGGATATAATTAATTACTTATATAATATATGCGTATTTCAAATATCTATCACTTAAATTGGCTCTTAATTTTCATAAACATGTTTATTATTTTGTGAAATATTTTTAATCGTTTAAAATTTGAGCTGCCATAGGCAATTCACATACACATATACGCACACACACTCACACACACGCACACACACACACACACACGCACACACACTCAGCATACACTCAGCATACACATATGCAATAACAAATCTGGCCAAATGTTGGAAACTTGAATAAATGCATGAGCTAGAGAAACATAACACAATTTAATAATTTTCAGCACAAGTAGAACGACAAAATATATATTTATATAACTAGGATGATGTGTATCTGTTTATTTATTTCTGTATTGCTGCAAAAACCACAGCAATCGGTATGAAAATTTCTACAAAATTGATATTGAATTGGAGGTATTTTAACTAATCAATGGCCACAATGCTCGACATCTTCTGTGGCAAGAACAAATTTTGAATATTGACGGTATATCAATTATTGAGGTGCTAGTGCAATTTGTGTTACAGTTGAGATAGATGTGGTCTTTGGATAAGAAACAGGCGAAAGGACTCTCATTTTGCCATTTGCACGTAGACAGCTGGCAATTGTCAGTTAGGCTGTCCTCAGACTCCGTTTGAGCCTCGTGAATTATGTAAATTGGCAAATTGCTGTCGCAACTATTCTGGACATGCAACTGTTTGCCTTCTGATGCTCAGTCCCATTGAAATTTTTATAAGTTGTGCGTGCTGTCGACGACCCTAACGCAAATTAGTGCGACACGCATAACACTCGAGTGTTGCCCAACTTTGCAGTTGTTGTTTGTATGATGATTGTGTGTCGTTCTTGTTTCTCGTTTTGCATAAATGCATGGCAAGTGTTTTGGCATTCCTCGCTTTTGGGGTGCCATTGCGACTCTTACGGAATTTTTATGCATTCGCTACGTGACTCTTTGCTCGCAACGAGATGTGCAAATTGTTTTGGCCAAGTGTTTAATAAATATATTATTTGCAAAAGGTTTGTGCAATTTTACCTTTAATGCTGGTTTTCTCAAGAATTGCGATGGGAACCGACCTGCATACCTGTCGATATTCGTTCTATTACAAATTGTAGTTTATTTCATTAAAATTTAATTTAAAAATAAATTATAAATAACAAAATAATAAATTAAAACCATGAAGAGTGGATTTTTCTTCCTGAACTCATTGAAAGTGAGAGAAAGAAGGAAATTTCTGCGCCCCATAATGTATATATATATTCTTGTTCAGCACCAAAAGTCGAGTCGACCTAGCCATGAAAGTCTTTTTGTCTTTCTATCCGTTTCTACGAACTGGCCGATCTCAGTTCCTTTAAGTGCCAGAGTCTTTCATTTTGGAATATAATATAAAAATGTAATGAATAAGTATCAGGTACGAGTTTATTTTATTTTTGATTTCGTTTTGTATATAAACTTGTTCCACGTTGCGAGCATTCTACACAGACTTACACCATTTAAATTCGATACATTTGCCATTGGGAGCAGCATTTATAATACGTAATAATGTCAAAATTTGTGATTGATAATACTTTGCACTTGAGTGTGTGTGTCAGACCTAGCTTGACGACTCAATTTATGTACCTACACCTACAACCTACACACACAGACGAATGTGTTTGCCAATTTAAGGTAATTTTCATTTAGCTCGTTTCACCACCTGCTGACAGGCAGCAACATGTTCGGATTGGAGCAAAGCACTTGCAATTGCTATGACGACACGACGCTACTTAATTAGCAGAAAATATCAGCCATACTAAAGCAAATAAAATAGCAAACCAGTCAGCAGTCGGCTTATGGCAGGAGCACAGGAGCACAACAGCACACAATGTGTCGTCGCATCGGGAAAATTGAATTTGAAATTTGAATTTCATTACCATTTGTCATTTGGGGGCGCTTCAGCATGCACATTTGGCATCAGCTTTGAAATTATGATTAATGTGCAACATGAGAGCCAAGGAAATAACAACTTGGCCCCGAGTTCGTCGTTTTCTGGCAATGTTTTGTGGCATGTTGTGTGTGTGTGAGTGTGTGCGTAGGTTTGCTTTCGATATAGAGCTGCATTAGAATGCAGGACACTCTCTGTTGGTTTCTATTAACACCCCAGTAACATGGCCGCAAAGCCGCCTTGCTCCTCGCCCTCCTGCCTTTGAGCTGCCTAAATTTTTTTTTTTTAGCTGCCTTGTTTTGTGTACTTCGCTCGTTGTCTGTCTTGTGTAACACATGTCGCCACTTTATGCGTTGAGTGCATGCACAATGAGACAACAGCCGTATGTGTTTGTATGGGTATTCGAGTGTGAAGGCCTTGGGTCGAGACGTGTAGCAACTGTATATCAGCTGCCGCCATAGGCAAGAGCAGCATGGTGGAGACCAAGTTGCATTTATGTAAAGCTTGGGCTTGCATTCCAAACCAGGTATCTACTTCATCCACTTTCATTCTGTTGAAGTGTAATACAGTTCATTTGAATCGGATTCGGAATGAACCAAATCAAAAAAAATCAATTCCAAACCAGTCATCTATTTTTACACAGTATCTCTTCAGATCAAGCCAAAAACTAACCTACTAATTTAACCATCATTCCTATCTTCTCAAAAAAAAATGTTGGAAAATGGTCTTAAGCCTCAATAAAATTTCAAACAACAGTTTTTCACAAATTTCTCAATTAGTAGATTTGGGTTTACTCAATAACAATATATTGCATCTGCCCAATTGATTAAATATTTGGGAGCTCAGAACACGCAATTAATTAGGACTGATTTTCGTTGTTGTTCGTGTTATGTAATAAGAATCAGATTCTGTTGTTCATTAAATACAACAACAAAAATTCGACTATGCCCAAATATTTGCCTTTGATTAATCTATTATTATGCATACTATTGATTAGATAATATGAAAAAGATATTTATAGTAGCAGGCCCATCTGTTCTTTATCTGTGCTCATTATTCGTTAAGTCAGAAGACTAATATTAGGCAGATTTGTGGTAACCTAATTAACCTAAATTAATACATTTGCTTGTTAATCGTTTGTTATATATTTGAAGAAAAATGACCAACATAGGGTACAAGAACCGTCTGCGCAACAACGAAGCTTTCTAGTTCCGGAGCAAAGAACCGGTGAAATGTGGCAACAATGCAGTTGGTTCGTACACAGTTCATCAACATCAAGCTGTCAACTTGGCACTTGGCACTTGGCAATGCAATTGCAAATTCAATTAATCAAAATACCCAGATGCAGGGGCACACACTTCAAAACACTCATGTGACGCCATCACATTAAAAACTAGTAGGCCCCAAAATCGTTTTATAAATTGTGTGCGAGTTGCATTTTCGAATTAAGACAGAGAGTCAGACAACAATGCCACTGCAGCTGGGCAGGAAATTAGAAACGGCCACTTGATGGCCATGCCCCCAAAAAAGACACCATCAGCAACTGTTGTAATGTAAACCGAATCAATGCAATGGCTTGCATTTCCTGGCTGGTTGTTGCCTGCTTGCTGACTGGTTGGTGCCTGGGTGCCATATGTGCCGGACTCCATGTTAAATGAAATCTGTGCGACTGCAGTCTGTGTGGATTTGGCAAACACGTTTGACTGCTGTTTCCGCCTATGAATTGCTTCGATCTGTTTTGGTACACAGTGGCATTTGGGTTCAGCTACCCGTTTAGTAAGCTGTTGTTGCTTTTTTTTGTTGCTAATGGATGATGAGTGAAATGGCACCTTGAACACCCCAAACATATCAAACATTGCCGGGCAATAAAATATAAAATTCAATTACTGCCAAAAAGAAGTTGTTGAGTACTTCGGCAAGGGGGCGCCAGCTGCCTCGGAGTCAAACAGCATGAGCCCAGAATTGGGCAATGACTTTGGTTTTGTGGCAGACGCCCATAGCTGGAGCTGACAACATTGTATGAAGACGCAGTCGCTCCACATGTCGGCCTGGGCTCTAGCCGCGATCCCTGACAACTGGGGCACTGCCAACAAGCAGTCTGTGTAAGCCAGAAGTTCAAAGACATTTGTCGCGCTTTATTTCTCTCTTAATGGGGTGCAAATTGAAATTGAAAAAAGCTTAATATGACAATTTCTCGAAAGAAGGCGTATTTTCAAGACTTAATTCAGATTTAATATAATATATAAGCCAGCTGCCTGCTGCAACTACCACTCTGACTTATCGATCGTATCGAGCTTCCATTGTTCTGAAAGGCTAAACTTTGGCTTCAAGCCTATACTAATATATACAAACAAACCAATTGTGGTTAATAAAAGGCTAGTGTTGACATCAAGCCTCAGTGTATATTATTAATAAAGTCCTTAACGTTGTGGAAATAACGTTGACTAATTAATTGGAAGTAAATCTTTGAAAAAGCTAATAGTGCAATTATGCACTATATTAAAAAAAAGAGGGGATCGAATTTGGTCTTGGGGTAAACGTTCATAGCTGCAACTGACAACTTGAAGACGCAGTCGCTCCACATGTCGTGCTGGGCTTTATCCGCGATCCCAGACAACTGGGGCACTGCCAAAAAGCAATATGTTTATGCCAAAAGTTCAAAGACTTTTGTCGCGCTTTGTTTGCCTTTTGATGGGGTGCAAATTGAAATTGAGTTTGGCTATAGTACAGAAAAAAAAAAAAATATATATATATAACTGCTCGCAACCCTTCTATTCAGTGCACTTCTCGCTGGCCGCAGAGCAAACACAAAAATGGGTGTATGTACGCGGCATGAAAAGAAAAATAATATTTTCAGGAAGCAAGCCTGAAATATTTTTGCCACATAAATCATAACAATGGCCATATGTAAAACTCCATGTACGTGTGTGCTGGCTGCAACGCAAGAGTGAAGCGCATGTTGCACATGCCACAACAAACAAAACAAAAATCAAAATCGAACGCAGTATAAATCTAACCGCTTTTGAGAGTATACTCAGATTCAAATCATCCCGCATTTATTTGCAACCGTGGACTTCATTCTCAAGTGCAACAGCTTATAATCGATTATAATTTATATTTCAAAATATATTTTTTGAAGAGTCAACAACTTTTCTCCAGATTCGATTAGCTTGGAAACTATTTTCCATCCCCCCGTTTGCAATTCCTTTACGGAATACTTGTCCAATGCTTTAATATATTCTACTATATTTCGAGTATTACTTTTCTTGTAATTATTGTTGATGTTAGATGACTAGAATTGTGTCCATTGATTTCCTGCAAGTAGAGTATTACAGCTTCGTACGGTTAGCTCGTAATTTGTCTCTACAATTTTTTCCCCACTGTCGCATTTCCCTTTCGGGCAATAAATTGTCAATTTTGAAATGTTTTTTCTCATAGCAAACGAGCAATTTTATGGCCATTTTAGAGCTGATTTAATGCGCTAAGCGCGCGGGATTAGCCCTAGTCATAAATTTTCCATTACATATCGTATTTTGGATGCAACGCGGCGTAAACGCAACCAGCGACCTAAAGAGAGATGCCCGCACTTGAGGCAGCGCCTTCTCATAATTAAGTATCGTCTCCTTGTTGCATTGCTGAGCCGACACTGTAGCATCATTAGGGCACGTGTCTGCATGGATCATCATCTCAACAGCCACTTGAACATCACACGAATTTGCATGCAATTTGCGCAACAAAAACGCTGTTGCAGATGCTAGCGGCAACATTAGTAGCAGCAGCGTCACCAGCTGCAAACCAGATGCAAACCAGCAGCAAACCAGCAGCAAACCAGCAGCAAACTTGAAGGATATGCCACAAGCAATACGAGACATGGCTAAGGGGCAGGTGGCACTTTTGGCCCGCTGAGGAATGTGTGTAAGGCCCCGGTGATGATGCGCATACTGCCTCGTTAAAGATGCTTGTTTCGTCAAGGCGACGTCAGCTGGAGCAGTCAAGTGTTCGTCTTGCATACGCTTAAATGCGCGAGGCAACTCAAGTGGGCCCAAAGCCCAAAGCCCCCAACCAACCAGCCAACTAACCAACCAACCAACAGGCAATGCAACAAACCAAATATGAAAACTAAGCGCTTCATAAATGTCAAAAAGTTAAAAGAAACCGCATAAATTTCCAGTTCTGCAGACCACAATTATATCCCAGCTGACTGCGATGCATAGTTTCTTTCGTCTATTCATATTTTAAAAGTTTCCAAATAAATCAGCAACAAATGGTTAACAATAGGACAAGGGAAAGTGGTTATGTTTCTGATTCTGTGCAGCAAGCGGGAAATGAATTTAAACAGTGATGAAATCTGTGTAATCTTGCTGGTTTGTGTTTTATTATTTTCCGGAGCTGAAGGACTTAATTAAGGAAAACAGAAAGTGGCCAATAAGGTTGTGTACAATGATGTTGTGCAAGATAATGTAACAGGCAGAAGGAAGCATCTCCGATGCCTAGGAATTACCAGCATTTTTTTTGTCATTGCAACACATTTATTTTACACTGAAAACATTCATAATTTAACGTCATTTTTGTGTAATATTTTTTTTTGTTGGGTAAATATCGAATAAAATGGCGAAAATGTTGAGCATTGTGTAGATCATTGTATGTAATATGTGTAAACAAACGATTACGTTCAGTTCTGCAGTCCAGTAATGAAAATAAGAAAATTGTGAGAAATCTGTGTGAAAACTATCGTACCACATTCCAAGAAATAAACCTTCTTACCGAGCCTCGCATAGTGTGTTAGTGTATTGCTTGAGAATGAGGAGCTGAGGCAGGGGGACTACATGCCCAGTCCACCCATGCCACCCATTCCGCCCATTCCGCCCATGCCACCCATGCCGCCCATGCCAGCAATTGGATTTGCCTCCTCCAGGGGTAGCTCGGTGACGACCGCCTCGGCAGTGGTCAGCAGCGATGCAACACCAGCGGCATCAATGATCGCCGTGCGTACCACCTTGGTGGGATCGATGATGCCACGCTCGATCATGTTGCCGTATTCGCCCTTGAGTGCATCGTAGCCATAGTCGCCGTCTAGAATCTCGACCTTGGCCACCACCATGGCACCATCGACACCGGCATTCTTTGCAATTGTCATGCAGGGCATGCGCAGAGCACGACGTATAATATCGATGCCCAGATTTTGATCCTCATTGGCACCCCGCAGATCATTTAACTTGCCGATGCAGCGGAGTAGCGCTGTGCCGCCTCCTGGTACAATGCCCTCCTCGATGGCCGCTCGAGTGGCGTTGAGGGCATCATTCACACGATCCTTTTTCTCATTCACCTCCACATCGCTGGAGCCTCCGACGCGGAGCAGGGCAACACCCGACGACAGCTTGGCCAGACGCTCTTGCATTTTCTCCTTCTCATAGTTGGAAGTAGATTCCTTGATGGCATCGCGCAGATTCTCCAGACGCTTATCAATCATCGGACGCTGTCCAAAACCCTTCAGCAGCATGGTATCCTCCTTGGTGACCACAATTTCCCCAACTCGCCCAAAATCGCTCACCTTAATGTCCTCCAGGCGCACCAGATTCGATTCGTCGCCAAAGACGATGCCACCGGTGGCAATAGCCATATCAGCCAGCGACTCTTTGCGATTATCCCCAAAGCCCGGGGCCTTCACAGCGCACACCTGCAGTCCGACCTTGAGGCGATTCACCACCATGGTGCTTAACGCTTCACCTTCGACATCCTCGGCAATGATGACCAAAGGCTTCCGTTGAGTATTGGCCAATTCAAGAGCTGGCACAATGCTCGTCGCCGTCTTGATTTTCTTCTCGCAGAAGAGGAGCAATGCATCCTGGAATTCAACTTTGGCGCCCTTGGAGCTGTTGATGAAGTACGGCGAAATGTAGCCTCGATCAAACTTCATGCCCTCAATCACCTCCAGCTCATCATTCATCGTTTTGCCATCCTTGACGGTAATGACGCCTTCGCGTCCGACCTTCTTGATTGCCTTACTGATTAGATTGCCCACCGATTTGTCACCATTTGCCGAGATGGTTGCCACCTGGGCAATCTCCTCGGGAGTGCTAACCGGCCGCGACATACTGCGCAGATTCTCCTTGACCGAGTCAATGGCCAACATGACGCCACGTCGGATCTCCACAGGATTAGCGCCACGGGAGATCTTCTCGAATCCTTCCTTGGCAATGGCACGAGCGAGCACCGTTGCCGTTGTGGTGCCATCACCGGCCTCCTCATTCGTGTTGTTGGCCACATCCTGCACCAGTTTGGCACCGATGTTCATGAACTTATCCTTTAGCGCTATTGACTTAGCCACAGTCACCCCATCCTTGGTTATTTTCGGTGATCCCCAACTCTGTTCGATGATCACATTACGTCCTTTGGGACCCATGGTTACGGCGACGGCATCTGCAAGAACATCCACGCCCTGCAGCATCATCGCCCTCACCTCTGGTCCAAACTTGACATCCTTGGCATATCCGCGACACAGATTCTGTCCCACCAGTTGGGAGCTACGTTGCAGCGTGGACTTAGTCAAAAATCTCAACATTCTATAATCAAAATTCGAAAATTCAAATTTAAATATTAAAAAGAAAAACAAAAAAAATTTGTTTTCTATATTTTACATACCTTGAATGTGGTTTGGTAAATTTGTGGAAAAATGTTGTATTGTATTAATTTGTATGTCTCTAAGCGTTGTTGACGCTGTCGAGGCAGAACTAAAAATGAAATCCCAATCCAAATAAATGCAAGTAAGTTTGAAAGTCACATGGCCTGCTTTATGGCTGGCCGATAATTTAATCAATTTATTTATTTGTATATTTATTTTGCTATGCAGGGCTTGCTTTTATTGAGACATTTTGTTGACTACAGAAATGAAATAAAGGAAAATAAATTGCAATTTATGTTGAATACCAATATTTACATCAATTAACAAAAGTGTACAGCATTTTTGCTCGGCTATTTTATTGAATTAAGTTCTCTTTTACTTAGATTATGTGTGTATTATTGGCAGATGAAGATCTGCCTAATTCAATTAATTTAATGAAACTCTCCACTGGTTATTAAACGCAATACTCCTTGCATAAATGATATGAAAATGTGGATTTTCATTTCGTCCAGCCCCGTTTCTTAAAGCTCACATCCAAAACATATGGTTGTCCGATCCGCTCGACTTCGACATGTTTACGGCCGATGGACCTGAATACTGTTAATAAATATAATTAGTTTCGAAGATAATTAAAGGAACTGAATCATTTTGGGTAGGAGAGTAAAAGTACTTTTGTTTTAACAAAAGCCTTTTCACACCTTATATTTGTGTGTCAATTAAATAAAGCCTCGATGTATTAAATCACGGTGAGAGGAAACAGTTATCCACCGATTATTAAATTTGGAATCTAATAATTAAAAGCGAATGCGCGATTTTATTGCTGGTTCCCTTGTGGCAACAAATTTTGCTCAACAGCTGCCTGACACTTTGCAGGTAATTAAAAGACAAATATTGTCGAAGGATTTCTAGCAGGGTGCAGAATACAGAGGCAGGGTATGCTACAGGGGCAGGAGTGTGTGGGGTGCGGGGACGACTTGACTGTTAACACCCACACAGAGCCCATTTTGCAATTTAAATTTTCATGAACAAGCGCCGCCATTTGTCGCTGTCGTCTTCGTTGTCGTTGTTCTTGCCTCTTGCTCTTGCTTCTGCTCCTGCTCCTGCTGCTCGTGCATCCTTAACAGTTTTCAATTTGCTTGGCCGCTTGTAAGCGCAGCTGACAGCGACTAGAGAGCGACAGAACATTGGAACAGCGAGTTATCAACTAATGCCAAAGGGGCTCCCCACTTTGCTCCTCCAGCCAAACACCGCGATTTGCCTTTCATTGTATTTTAGCCGCTTGTCGGCGCACATTTTTACGACCATTTAAATGGTTTTCGCCTTTCGTCTACAAAATTTGTCACGCAGGTGGCTTATAGAAGTGGCTTAGATATGGCGAGTGTAGATTGCAACTAAAGTCGCTAAAGCACCAGCAAGCCGGCAACTGATGTAAGTGGATTGTAAGACAGATTGAATCTTAACATATTCCCCAGTAGTATGCATAGTGAAGTAAAGTTTTGCTTTGGTTTTTGATATGTGAGTGATACGTGCACACAGTTGAAACCAATTCTTGAGATCCGGATACATAGATCCTGGTTCATTCTGTTATTGAAATTAAAATACGAATATATATTCAGAACAAGTACAACTAAGAGTAAGCGTTAATTATGAATGGCCACTCTGACAACTTGTGCCTGCCTCTATCAATTTCAGACCCACAGCAATTAAGTTTGTTTAACTGATGCATCTTATTCAATTACAAAGGCTCAAATTAGCAGGCATTAACATAAGCAGTGGTCGCTCCCCTCCTTCTTGGCCAAGAACAGTAGTGGCGGGGGGAGCACAAAGAGAGCAATGCGAATAGCCCACGCATCATTAGCGAAATGGCGTCGAAATTATAGAAATTACAAGGCATGGGCATGGGGCGGTAAATGAGAGGCATTTATTTGAATGTAATCCATTATGAAATCGCATAATGAAGAGATTAGCACGCATACGAGCCGCAATTAATAAATGACCCGTCCGGCAAAAAGGGCAGGCCAAGAAACTTGGCCTCAACACTCTGGGTGGCTGTTTGCGTGTCCGACAAAAGAAATCTAATAAATTAGTAAAACGGCCAACGGCAATCATTAGTTTTGGATGCCATGCATATGACGCACAAATATAAATCAGTCCTTAAAGTTGGAAGACATTGAAAGACGATGCCAGGTGGCTACACAGACGCGACCGAAGACAATACAAAATGGACAATGGGCAATGGACATCAATAAAAGGGGCTTAAATTGTGATACAGAAACCCCAAAAATTCAATGGTCACTTATTAACCCAGCTTTTAATAGCTCTATTGAAAGTTTTCACGAACACTTTGCACTTCATTAAACTTTTTGAATTTAAGCTGAGCAGTCGCACAGTACTGCCGCACAGCTGGGCAGCCAAACAAAGATATCTTCGTGGTCGTCTCTCTGGCCTCATGCTCATCGATAATTAACCACAGAAACTTGGCAAACAAAGCCATCATTGTGCCGCAGACGAGAAAGTGGGTATCCCCACTAAAGGGGTCTAATGGCTAGGCACAAAATTTAATTAAAAATGCTTCGTTGCTTTTATTTAAAGTAAAAGTGAATTGTTGGCAAAATTCTAAAGAATCTCTAAGTAAGCGGCTTTCGCCATAATTCAAAGGAAGTTTCGACTTTTGGTAGCTATTAACAAAAGGAAATTGATAGATTACGCAAGGCAATCAAAACAGGTAGGCAGATGTAGACTTAATAAAAAATAAAATAGAGAAATTGGAGAATTAAAACAATAATAAATAAATTAGGAAATCTTTGTGAAAAAAATACCTTAATTTCTTATTTTCTTTCCGTAAGAAAAATCACACATTGAATTCAAATATTTGTTGTAAAGTTATTCCATTCCATATGGTGAAGACAGTTTTCGCCATTTAATAATTAATTAATACTTTTACTAATTAACTATATGTAAGATTAGTTTGTACCCTTTTTGGTTAAGGGAAAATGTGAAAACTCTCTAACAGCGTACATATGTTGCATTTATGTAAATAATTGTATTATTATCGTAACAAGAAGGTGACATAAATGTCTGAAATAATACTTGACTTGGGCAACACTTGAATTAGACTTGCCACACGCTTCGCAGACATGCAAATAATTTTTGGTCATGCAAATGTTTCGGCTGGCCAATTTACCCCACCCAACCAACCAACAGCAACCAGCTGCAACCACTGCGCGGTCGTTTGCTGCGGCTGCCCAGGGCCATAACGAATGCAACAGCCTAAGCAAGCCTCCCACTCTGGGGAGGAGTGGCACCTTTTTACACACACCGCCCACCGCATTGCTTTTTGCAGCTGGCTGCACATTTTGATTAGCCGTCGGCTCGCTGGCCTGACTGTGGTTTGGTTTTTAACATTTGGCGCCAAGCTTACACAACATACATATATATGGGTAAGCACACTCACACACGCTCACAAATACACACACAGACACACACACACACACCACACTCAGCCACCTCCACTGTCTGGGCAACTTATATGAGCCGGAAGCGCATTATAAAGGGCATTTCCGGTATTTAGGTTGTGTTGTTTGGGTGCTCGGCACTTTTTGTGTATTTATAGTTCGTTGAATTTTGCGCTTTAAAGGTTACACAGGTTACAGGACATCGCACATACGACGTGTGGTACACATAACAAGAAAATCATCATGTTGTGTAGAAAATCGGTTGCTAAAAGGGTGGGTTATATTTTCCCATAATCAAGGACAATAATCTCCAAATGCCTGCCTTTCAGCTTTTGGAAAACGTATTTGCAAAAATACAAAATATTTTAGCACAATAATTTTTAAAGTGTCGATTAGTGCCAGCGTTTTAAGATTTGGATAATTAATTTCATTTCGTGGCAATTATTTCAATAAATCAGAAAGTCTTTCTAGTTTTTCAAATTCTAGCGCGATTTCTGTTCTAAGTGTACGCAGAGAGCTAAGCTGTTATAGGAAATGAGTTAAAGTACTTTAAGTGGATCTGTTTCTAGCTCAACTTATCGCAAACTTTGTCCAATCGGAATTAAGCTGTCTTCATTTGATTGTGTGTTAGTGTGTGTGTGTGTATGTGAAGGGTGTATAAAGCACAATATAAAACTTTAATATGCAGCGCATCCGAGGCAATCATAAGTACACAAACAGAGCGAAAAGCAGAGAGAGAGAGAGAGAGAGAGAGAGGGAATGGAAGAGAGAGGAAGCGAGAAATAGAGACTTCGAGACAAAGCCAATACACACTTAGTAAAACTTTCCTTGGCCTTTTGGGGCAAAAGTTGTTAGTAACCCACTCAACATTGACGATTCGACGAGTGTCCAAAAAGTGTTTTAGGTTAAGCGCAAACTTTGTGCCAAACGCTTTTGACGGTCATTTTAATAAATTGAAAAGTGGAAAATGTGCAAAAAAAGAAAAAGAATAGCACATCGATAAGGATGGTCCGAAAAAGTTTTTCTTCTCTTTCGCGTTGTTTGTGCAGGCTCATAAAATCTGTTTACAGGCTTATAAATAAGCGATGTTGCCACCACCCACTTTCTCTATTTATATTTATGGTGTTGGTGTTGGCGTTAACGATTTGTTTTGCTTATAAACAAAAACTGGGTAAGGAGAAAAACTTTCGCTTCCGGTTTGTGAAACTTTCTATAATGCCATATCTTATGCATGTCAAGGGCTAAACTAAACAAATCTGCTTGAACTGAATGCCTTCATGACAAAAGTTTTTTACATTTTTATTGAGTTTGCTTTGTAATTTAAATTGTTTGCCCTTAACTTGTTGACATGACAGAGGGCCCCACTGATGGAATGAGAACGGAGGACGCAAGAGCACACAGTGCAGCAGCCAACAGTGAAAAGCCCTGATAACAATATAGACCAATGGCATTTAATCTGTTCAGCTGACTTTCAATCAATCGCATCAATGTTCATTGTGGCGTCTAACAAATTGTCCGCCTGGTTGCCCTTCACATAGTCAAAGCATAATCGATGCTGATATAGCGGCAACAACCGAGAAAAGGGCAGCCAACAATTCTATATGCATGGTGGGGTGTGGGTGTGCGTGGGTATTGCTGGATAGGTTACCAGTGAAAAGCAAT